TCAAACGTCATAAGAACCCCACCCTCCCCCCACTCGCAATATTCCTGGCTACGCCACTGCCCCTAAGGTTCACGCAAAATAATAACAAAATCAATAACAATCATATTATGACATGAACTTTATGTCAACTAACATAAAACTGCTTTCCGGCGATTGGCGAACAATTATATAGACAATACGATTTATGTTCTACTGGGTCGGGGGGGGGGGGGGCGCGAATGGTTAACACGTGCGTTCTGTATCATACGGCCTGTCATTGAGCCAACTGGCGTGGTTTCGAATCCCCGGTTGTACGTGACAAGGATTAGGGTCGCCTGTCCAACTTCGTGGGTTTTCTCCGGGTCCTCCGCTTACCTCCCACTGCTAAAGACCCCTACGCGCAAGCGAATTAATGAAATAAAATTGAACCATATGTTAGTCCCGAAATGACCTAGTTTGTGTCGAGTGGACGTTAAACCCATCTCTCTCTCTCTCTCTCTCTCTCTCTCTCTCTCTCTACCGGGTCGCTCAGAGAATATGTAATATAACCACAGGTTCGTCGATCACGGCACCACTTAAGAGTATGTGATAGAATACATAACTCTTTTTGATTAGAAGGATATTTTAATACTGGATAACATATTTACATGTACAATTCTACATATGAACATCATTTGTGGTTAGATATAATAACGTCTATATACAGCTGCTCCTACTAGGTCTCAAAAGACCTCATTCTCCCGGGGTCCGAGAGCAGAGGCTCTCCGAGGTCTCGGTAGACCTTTAGGTCTCTCTCGACCTGATTCTAAACTAGGCTTTTAATAATGTGGAACAATATCTGTCGCGTCAGCTGGGGCACGCTATAGTTAATAGCATTAGTAATCAGAACAATGAAAACTAATTATTAAAAGTCACACTAGACAATAAGTGTTAAACTTAAATCTTATATCATATAGACACTCCGAGTATACAAGTTTGTACAACCCATTACATCTTACATAATACTATGTCATAAACCCCACACCTGCTATAGATTAAATCTTACAATTAATCTGTCACTTAATATGTCCAAAATGAGTTACAAATAAAATATGAATTCAGAATACAATATTAAATTTTAGATCCCAAATGATATTGTATTACAAATATTTTGTTTAAATTCATTGTTGGGTGGAATTGTGGCGTGGTTTCGATTTCTCGCTTGTATGTGAAAAGGAATAGGGTCGCCTGTCCAACCACGTGAGTTTTCTCTGGGTCCACCGTTTCCCCCCCATTGCTAAAAACCTAACCTACAATCTCGCAAACAGTCACATGCCCAAACCTTTTTTACATCTCAACGACCTTGACATAAATTGAGCTGGCCTTAACAAATAGATTTAGACCTTGAATTTATATCTGTGTAGCGCAATACTAAAGCTCCATCGGACTCATCCACAAGCGCCTGTAGCGTGGAAAATATTTCAAATTTAAGCTATGACTAAATATACATGTATGTCTAAAGTCTGCTATGTCCATGTTCGTAATCGAGATTATCAAATAACTGTTCTGATTCCAATTTCTAACTCAGGGGCAAATAACTCGTCTGAAACCGATTCTCTTTCAGTAGATATAATAATAACAAGGTGAGAAACGAATTGGAATTAATTAATTCGATCAAAGTTCACGATTCCGCCAACCAGTGGCAATACTCAATAAATTTCGCTAGGAGACCAATCGAGTCTACAATGACATTTTAAAATTATCCACGTGACCCTCTTAACTGAGGATGTTAGTAAAAACCTGTTATTGTTATTACTTTGTGTTTTTTAGACTGAATAAAATGGCGGTGAATATTTTGGGTGTTATAGCCGTGGCAGTGTTTTATATACTGATCTTGGTGATTGGTGTATATGCTGGAAGAAAGACCGTTAAGTCTGGAACAACGGAAGAATTATTAGTAGCTGATAGAGGATTGGGGTTAATTGTATCTTTCTTTACTATGACAGGTAGGCATCTGGTAGACATCTCGTACCATCTGTGATAGGTAGAAATTTCGTACCATATGTGACAGATAGACATCTCGTACCCTCTATGATTGGGGTTGGTTGTATTTTCTTTACTATGACAGGTAGGCATCTGGTAGACATCGCGTATCATCTATGACAGGTAGAGGCGTTTCGTACCATCTTAATAACATTCGTAACATTGTATCTTTGTTTCCGTCTTTTGTTTTGTTTTTTACGTCATGAAAAATGACAAATAACAATGCGTAATCATTCGGAATTTCCACTGCCCCTACCCTAAACCTCCCCAAGAATATTCATTTGTAAAATTGTTTGTGTTTTCATTTTCAGCTACGATGGTCGGTGGTGCTTTTATAAATGGCACTGCTGAGATTATAGCTTCAAGTGGAATTGTTTGGACCCAGGCTCCGGTTGGTTATTGTCTCTCATTTGTCATAGGTAGGCTTATTCTGTTTCGCTAAAAGCTTTTTCCGACGTGGTTTCCCCTTGTCAGTGGTACAGAACGGAGGGCCTGACAAGGACAGCTGTCTAGTCCTTCGGATGAGACGAAATACCCAGGTCCCGTGTATACATTAGAATGCACGTAAAAGATCCCTTGGAAGTTTGAATTCGATATAAGAGTAGGCGATAGTGCCGCTGCCCGGGCAAAATTTCCCTCATAGCACACTGTATGGCGTATGCCCGTCTTCATTAGCCAAGTATAGGAGCAGAACAGTAGTACGTTTAACCTCATTTCATTTTCGCTAAAAGCAGGGGTTTCAGCTGCTTGGCATTAAATGGGTCGCTACGCTGGATACAAATACTTCCTTAATAGTGCTATAGCATAATAATTCGTTGGCCTAAACACCGCTGCCACAGGTCTCAAATTGACGGACATACAAAAAACCGGTTTCAGTTTGCACGTAAAAGAACCCTTGGCAATTGGAATTCGCTGAAGAGTAGGCGGAAAGACTACTGCCAGAGAAATTTTCCTTCTAGTAGGGCGTGTGTTGGTGTCTAAACACACGCTCGAGGGTTTAGGATCCCATATTATAAAGAGGACAACAGCAATCTGACATACGGCATTCTATTCGATCCAAATTCCGGGCTACCATCTCCCAAATGAACGCAGGGGAATCCCGCTTTACCGTAGTAACAGGTCACATGACCATATATATATTAGGTGATCTTGTGACAGGGATAACCTGTCAAAGAGGTACCATAAGGGGGTACATATAAGGAGATATTCTCTACACTAGCATACAGCTCCCGTTGAGTATATGCACACCCTCGCAAATTGCTAAAAAGCACGCAGTTTCAATGCATTTTTTTAACATTGTAATCATAATCATAATGCTCACCCAGTGTCAAACATATACCGTGGGTCAGATATGCTACACAGCCCAATATGTATCGTCGGCACTGGGTGCGACCCTCCCCCTCCCCCGCACATACATATATTTATTGTTTTGGGTTTTTTTGTTGTTTTTTTTTTTTTGGGGGGGGGGGGGGGGTGGACGGGATCTTGTTCCTCATGCCCCTGTATCTTGACCTTTATATTTAAATGGTTATCTATGTTTTTTCAGGTGGATTATTTTTTGCTCCACAAATGAGGGAAGCTGGTTACTTTACGATGTTTGATCCTTTTCAACAGAAATTGGGGAAATATGTCGGTGCCGTGTTGTGTATTCCACAGTTCCTGAGTGATCTGTTTTGGACGGCAGCAGTTCTAGCAGCTCTCGGTACGCTCTGAACTATTATTGTTCCCCCACATGTTACACTATTTTTGTGATAACAGAGATCAGTTTCTTACATATAGGGTTAGTCCCGAAATGACCTAGTTTGTGTCGAGTGGACGTTAAGCCCCATTTATCTCGCTATTTACATAGGAACCGAATGTAAAACAGCTACATAAATTAAACAGGAACTAAACTACATCAGGAGTATAAACGACAACATTAACATTAAGACACACACATTGAATAATCATTTTTCTTTTCGTTATTCGAATGCTATTTTAATATTAGACTATATGCATATAATCAATTTTTGGATTATTTTTGGTTCATATTCAAATTTCTAGAAATTGTTAATCTTTCAGATCAACACATATTTTGGAATTTACATACCTTCACGACCGCTGTGAGGATGTGCTGATTACTCACGGACACAATATATCTATATATCTCTATACAGGGAGCCGCGGTGACTCAGTGAGTAAACGGAGTTGACCGAGAAATTTCATATGGATACCCCTTGTCAGTGGTGCAGGACGGAGGCCCTGACAAGAACAGTGTCTTGTCGTTCGGATGGTTTGGAAAACTGAGGTCCTGTGTACACATTGGCGTGTACGTAAAAGAACCCTTGACAGTTGGAATTCAATTTTAGAGTAGGCCGTAGCGCCGCTGTCCGGGAAAAATTACCCCGTTAGCGCATTGTATGGCGTATGCCCATCTTCATTAACACAGTCGGGGCAGAACACATTGGCGTGTACGTAAAAGAACCCTTGGCAGTTGTAATTCGGAATTAAAGTAGGCCGTAGCGCCGCTGTTTATGCCTGTCTTCATTAACCCAGTCGGGGCAGAACAGTGGGACGTTTCATTTATATATCTATACAATTTGTTTCACAGGCTCAACAATATCCATCATCTTAGATATCAACCAAACCCTGGCTATCATAATATCGTCGTGTATAGCTGTGTTTTATACATTCCTCGGTGGTTTATGGTCTGTGGCTTACACTGATGTTATTCAACTCATCTGTATCGCCGTGGGTCTGGTATGTTAATTCTACTGTATCTGTATCGCCGTGGGTCTGGTATGTTAATTCTACTGTATCTTTATTGCCGTGGGTCTGGTACGTTAATTCTTCTGTATTTGTATCGCCGTGGGTCTGGTGTGTTAATTCTTCTGTATTTGTATCGCCGTGAGTCTGGTGCGTTAATTCTTCTGTATTTGTATCGCCGTGGGTCTGGTACGTTAATTCTACTGTATCTGTATCGCCGTGGGTCTGGTACGTTAATTCTACTGTACCTGTATCGCCGTGGGTCTGGTACGTTAATTCTACTGTATCTGTATTGCCGTGGGTCTGGTATGTTAATTCTACTGTATCTGCATCTCTACTGTATCTGTGTCGCCGTGGGTCTGGTACGTTAATTCTACTGTATCTGTATCGCCGGGAGATGGGGTTTAACGTCCACTTGACACAAACTAGGTCATTTCGGGACTAACACATGGTTCAATATTTTATTTCAATAATTCGCTTGTAAGGGTCTTTAGCATGGGAGGAGACCGGTGGACCAAGAGAAAACCCACGAGGTTGGACAGGCGACCCTACAACCGGGGAATCGAAACCACGCCAGTTGAATGAATGGCAGACCTTATGATACAGCACGCACCTGCTAACCATTCAGCCATCCAACCCCCTCTAAGGTAAAAGAAAGATCCTCGGGATTTTCACTGGTGGAGGACGGAGGGCCTGACACGGAGAAATGTCTAGTCGTTAAAATTGGACAAAAAACCGAGGTCCCGTGTACACATTGGCGTGCACGTAAAAGACATCTCGGAACCATGGTGGCTAAGTGGGTGAGACGCTGGCTCGCTATTCTGGAGGTTCGTTCCCGGTGTTGGCCGAGAAAGTTCATCGAGATTGTCCGGCGTGGTTTCCCCTTGTCATTGGTGCAAGGCGGCGGGTCTGACAAGGGCAGCTGTCTAGTCGTTCGGATGGGACGAAAAAACGGAGGTCCCGTGTATACATTAAAGTGGACGTAAAAGATCCCTTAGCAGTTGGAATTCCTTTATAAGAGTGCGCCATAGTGGAGCTGCCCGGGCAAAATTTCCCTCATAGCACAATGTATGGCGCATGCCCCGTCTTCATTAGCCCAGTCGGAGCAGAAAAGTAGGACATTAAACCCCATTTCATTTCAGTATACTCAATTAGTTTACATTTTTAAGTTTTGAACATCGTAAACTAAAAATTAAATTGTGTTTGCCTTATGTGGTCATTGTTCTATTTTAGGTAACGGCTGTACCGTTCGCCATGACGCATCCAGCAGTGGATTATACCAGGATTAACAGTACCTGGAAAGGTGAAATCCAGCCATCACAAATGGGAAGCTATTTTGATATATATTGTTTACTTATATTTGGAGGTATTCCGTGGCAGGTACGCTTTTGGTCCCACCGTGGATTGTTAAAGGAAGAGGGATACGATAATTCTTTCTAGCGGCGTTTCCGGGTTCCATTACGTCAATGACAATGTTTACACGGGCAGGGGTGGGGGTGCGGGGTCCAACCGTCCCACCCCCACCTTCTCAGTTCCATAAAAGATGTCACGGTCGTGTGCTTTGTCCTTTATTGTCAGATAATGGGATAGGGTGGATATTCCAAGCGCGAGATTATTAAATAGACATATGTGATATCACAATTAATGCTTTGCATTAATGAAATTGATCACAATGTCGTCGTATTAATTCATAATAAAAAAATAACGTCAAACGAGGTGCTGGATTTCTCTCTTTAAAGAGCTCAGTGTTTATGTGTATACTTCAAAATGATGATAGAGCCCCCCCCCCCCACACACACACACACACACACACTGCATCAAACAGTTTAAATTAATCTATGCTTTTATCTTTTTATATTGCATCCGAGATCGAAAATATAATCCGCATTCATGTGTTGGTTTTGCTTGTATGTTATAGGTGTATATACAGCGATGTCTAGCATGTAAGACTCCACAGAGAGCGAGAATTGCTTCTTTCGTTGCTAGTATAGGATGTTTTCTGTTTGCTGTTCCAGCAGCATGTCTGGGTATCGCCGCTGCAGCCACAGGTAACTATATAAACATACCCCCCCCCCCCCTTCTTTAGGCCTGAAAAGTTATCTAAATTATTAAAGATACATTATTATGGGAGCAATTCTCGCTATAATAGTTAAAAACTAAATAGTGTAAAGGTAATTTGCTGAAAATTTCAGTCAAATTGATCCACTATGAGCCGAGAAAGAAGCGGGTGAAATTTTGGCATAGTCTCGGTCATCATTACTAAAATCATTATTATAAACAGCTTAGTCTCGATTATCCACTTTTATTGATTTAATTATCAACGGCCGTTACACATTATGCAAGAGCTAAATCTTCCTATAGCGGACCTTTCTTTAGGCCTGAAATGTTATCTAAATTATTAAACACTAGAAGAATGCCCGGCTTCGCTCGGGCGTCATAACGCCGAAACCGGAAGTGGTAGACTAACACCACCTGGCCTATTTTACTCCCCGGTCCGAGCTACCCCTATACCTCAAATTTCAGACTCGGGGCAGATCTAGTGTAGCCGCCAACCCCGAACAGACAGACAGACAGACAGACAAACGACAGTCATAAATATTAGTATAGATAGATAGATAGATAGATAGATTATACAAGAGTTAAAAATCTGCCTATTGCAGTCTGTAAGAGTTGAATCTGCGTCCTTACCAACAGCTCTTGTTGTACTAGCTAATAAAGCATGATTTGTTCCTGTTAATAAATTGACTAAATTTAAAATGGTGTGCCACCCAATTTTCGTATCTGCATTCTATTGGTGGTGCCTTGGCTAATCCCCCTAATGCGTAATAAATATATTAACGTTGATTTCAGATTGGAACCAAACGACATATGGTGGTGATGTACCAATTCCCGCAACAATGATGAGCTACGTCCTACCATTGGCGTTACAACACTTATGTCCCGCACCGGTTGCCATCATTGGTTTAGGAGCAATATCCGCTGCTGTCATGTCCTCTGCTGATTCCAGTATTTTATCGTCTGCCTCTGTTTTTGCAATGAATATTTTTAAACCCCTGTTTCGTCCACAGGTAAGTTTTAGTCCGAGGTTAAATTTGTTTAAACAGGCGCTATTCATTTTTTCGTTGTTCTTGGATGCGACGCTCTCCGACACTGTTCCTAAAAAAAAATGGGAGCCACGGTGGCTAGGTGGTTAAGACGCTGGCTCGCTAGCCTGGAGGTCGGGTGTTCGATCCCTGCATTGGCCGAGAAAGTTCATCTGGATTTTCCGACGTGGTCTCCCCTTGTTAGTGGTGCAGAACGGAGGGCCTGACAAGGACAGCTGTCTAGTCTTTCGGATGAGACGAAAAACCGAGATCCCGTGTATACATTTGAATGCACGTAAAAGATACCTAGGCAGTTGGAATTCGATATAAGAGTAGGCGATAGTGCCGCTGCCCGGGAAAAATTTCCCTCATAGCACACTGTATGGCGTATGCCCGTCTTCATTAGCCCAGTATAGGAGCAGAACAGTAGGACGTTAAACTCCATTTCATTTCATTTCCTAAAAAAATAAAACCCCAAGGCTTCGTTATTCACTTAATCAATTATGCCCCCGTCAGACCGGGTGGCGTCCTTACTGCGCTGCTGCGACCGTACAGCGACTAGAAAATGCACAAGGTCGCCGGCAAGGTAAACACAACGCGAGAAATTGTCCCCAAAAATTTACAAACTTGAAAAAAGTCTCGTTCTTTAACCCGTCAGATCGTGGTGGCGTCATTACTGCGTTGCTACGGCGACGGAAAATGGCCCCAGAGCGCGTCAAGATCGCCATAAGCGTGGTACAAGCGTGGTGGAAACGCCAGGTATCGCGCTGTGGTCTCGATGGTCGCAAATGATCGCCGAGTCACGGCGTTTGTTTTGAGCATGTTTTCAAGTTTGTAATATTTTGGGACATTTTCGTACGTTGTGTTCACGTTTGCCGGCGACTTTGTACATTTTCTGGTCGCCGTACGGTCGCTGCAGCGCAGTAAGGACGCCATCACGGTTTGACTGGGGCATTACAACTTTCCAGGTTAGATCGCAAAGTCTTGGCGTTTGTTTTGAACGTGCTTAAAACAAACGCGGTGACTATGCGATCATTCACGACCATGAAGTATGGAGACCACGGCACGATATCTGGCGTTTCCACCACGCGTTTACCGCGCTTATGCCGATCTTGCCGCGCTCTGCGACCATTTTCCGTCGCCGTAGCGTCGCAGTAAGGACGCCACCCCAGTCTGACGGGAGGTATTACGATCGACATGCAACTAGGTATGGTTTTTCCTTCGACAATTGTGCATCGATTGACGGATTTTTATATGACGTCACAATTCCAAGATGGCTGCGTTGACGTTACACTCGGTTTCTCGTCCACAGTAGGCCTACAACCGTAGGCTTCTTATATTATCTTTATTTCCCACAGTTCTGTAGATTCCATAACATTACAATTTAAGAGAAATAGGTAGGCCTAAATATGAAGTACAAAGTATAATATTGCATTTAGATTGTTAATTTGAATCAGAAAAATTACTGGTTAGAACGGAATAATTTTAATAAGACGGCCTATTACGGTAGTCTTTGATTTTTTAATAATGGCGGCTGGTGGTAACTAATGCCAACCAAATGCTGTATTTCAGAGATCAGGACCTTTCCTCTGACGCTACTTTTCTTCTTAGGGCGATGCTCTTTAAAAAAAAGCCCCACGATTCCGCCATTTCAATTACCGTGGACATAAAACTTGACATGCTTGTTCCTTGGACGGACGTCGATTTTTACTATGAAGTCACAATTCCATGATGGCTGCATGATGTTGTCATATTCGGTTCTGTTAGTGCTGAATTATAAGGCCAGCTCAAATTTTCGTCATAGGTCACGAGATATAAACAGGGCTAGTGCTAATCCCAAACACTAGCCCTAAACCTGGACTTAGCCCTAGTGCTTACCCTAACCTACAATCTCGCCAACGTGCCCTAACCTTATTTACATCTCAGCGACCTTGACAAAAATTGAGCCGGTCTTAACAAATAGATTTAGCCTATACGGTTTTCTCTCGTACATGTTGTTAAAGCATTTTCATTCTTTTTTAAAATTTATTTCAAGATGGCTGCAATGGCGTCATATTCGTTTCACTCTCGTACATGTTGTAAAGCATTCTTTTTTTAAAATTTATTCCAAGATGGCTGCAATGGCGTCATATTCGGTTCACTCTCGTAGGGCCTACATGTTTTAAAAACATTTTCAGTCATTTTTTAACTTTATTTCAGGCATCAGATGGTGAAATATCGTGGGTGATTAGAATATCTGTTTTAGTGTGTGGTCTATTGTCAACTCTTGTAGCTCTCAGCGCTCGTAGTGTTTATGGCTTGTATGTTCTATGCTCAGATCTGATGTACGTCATCATGTTTCCACAACTAATTTGCATATTGTACTTTAAAGGAACCAATGCGTATGGCAGTGTAACAGCCTTCGTCGTCAGTTTTACATTGAGGATCGTGGGAGGTGAATCGTTACTTAGTCTTCCAGCCTTAGTTCATTACCCTTTCTATTCTCCGGAATATGGACAGAATTTCCCGTTCAGAACCTTCGCAATGATTACCAGTTTCTTGATTATAGTGTCTCTGTCTAAACTAACGGAGATGTTGTTTAGGAAAAACCTGATTCCTAAAAAGTACGACGTTCTTATGTGCTTAAGTGATAATATAAGAGAAAATGGCGAGCTTAGCAAAAGTAATACACCACGGGTTTTCAAAAATTTTGCAATGGACGATATGTCAAATGCGAAACGACGCCCGGGTTTTGAAGAAACATAGGAGACACTCAATTGAACGTTCCGGTGATGAATTCTCTCAATCCATCATTTGGTATCCATCGAGTAAGAACAAGAATTTCGGGCATGCGTAAACCATGATACTATCTCGACCAATCACCACAGCTGTAATTTTCGATGACGTCACGGCTAGATACCGAACTTGTTTGAGTGACATTTGGAACAGTAACAAACTAAAAACTAATATATGGCATAACAATTACTGGTGTGTTAACATGTCTCGATTCTCCTCACGTAGCATCTGTTTTTTGGGACTGAAAGAATTGTGATGGTCTGAAATCCGTGGCATTCGATTGTCATTCGGAACGTTCTTTGCTGACAAGTTGTAAGTTCTATAGCCTACTGTGTGTTCTGAAAAATAAAAATTATGATGTTGGACCACTTGTCTTTGCGATAGTTGCGACAGTCAATCAGAGTTATGCTATACCAGGTTTCCACTGCTGTGCGGTGCGTTACGATACAATTATCCCTAGATTGAGCCCACGGTCTGATCAATCTAATTAAAATATAGATCTATATTTCGTTTCGTTTTTTATACTTTCGATGGCCTACACTACAAGTAGATCTAACAAGTTATAGTGGGAGTTCACGTTCTATGACGTCAGGTACCAAGCAAGCGACATTTGACCCGATTAAGTCAGTCATTCGATTAACCAATTAGCGACCGCCATGTATTTTTTATATACTTTTGTTTTGTTTTGATATCAATTGCAGCTAATGTCTACCGACAGTTCCGCGCAAAAAAGGTCAAACGCTCGATTCGACAGACCATTTGATTGGCTGACCCCTCATTTCAAGCAGAACACGAGTTAAATAACAACGCTCCCAGATCCAAGTGTAGTAAAGACAAGTAAAATTTTGAACTATAAAAACGAAACGAAATTGGATCTGTGTTTTAATCAGATTGTGTTCTGATACGTGCAGATACGATTGCTACGATTGACCTCAATATATGATACGACCTGATAGGATCACTACGATTGGTCCACGATTAATTCAAAATTATTACATTTAATACTCCACTTTATCTAAATTTCCATTTTATTGAAAAATCTCTTGTTTCCAAAACGGATATCTTGCTCCGTTCACAGACCAGTAAATCTCTTTTTCTTCAAAAATGCAAAACGGAATCCATGAAACGTACTTTTCATTATTCTGCATGTCTTTTATGGAACAATCTGCCTTTTGATATAAAGATGTGTAAAAATGTTGAAAATTTTAAGATTAAACTGAAAACTCATTTATTTTGCACACTGAAGGAACCATAATATTCAACTGATGACATACTTATTATTTTTAACTTGCAACTGCATTCTATTTTATTTTGTGTGTAATTATAGTGTTCTTCCTATATTCTACTTGTATAATGTATATGTTTTGTAGTTTGGGAGTGACTTATCAAACTTCCCACTTTAAAATGCTATTGCATTTCTAATGATTTTAAATTTATCCTGATATTACATGTATATATGTCTTTGTAGTTTAGGAGGGACCTATGGAAGATTAGGGTTTTTTTGCAAACTAAATACGTTGCCTCATTAAATAAAGTTTTTATTATTATTATTATTATTATTATTAAAACCACGATTTCAATCGTAGGGCGAATTGTGATAGTAGCAGGCCCGTAGTCGGGGGGGGGGGGGCAAGCTCTAAAATGCCTACTGTAGACTGTGCCCCCTCCCCCCTAAAACCTTCACTGCCCCTCCGCAGTAAACAAGCTGGCTCCAGGCCTGGATAGTAGGAACCTAGCTTCAGTGTTTTCCCATCATAATAAGCTTCTTTGATTCTCATTAGAAAAAGTATCATCACTGTCTGAGTAAAACTTCCTTTATTGCACACTGCAGGGACGGACTGGGGAGTTGCTCGCCCCTGGGCCCGAGAAAACTTTTGAAAAACTGATCGCAAATGGTGTTTTCTGAATGTTTTTTCTAGCTTATGCACAAATTTAGCGTTTGGAAATCTTACCAATTCATAAAAAACGACCACGCAAATTCAAGATTAAAAGGGCCCCAAAATTTGAATAGGGACCCAAACTACGTAAGGATATTATTTTATTTGGGTGCCCCGAGCCCTACCACACTGCTATGTGGGTAAGACGCTGGCTCGCTAGCCTGGAGGTCGGGTGTTCGATCCCTGCATTGGCCGAGAAAGTTCATCCCGATTTTTCGGCGTGGTTCCCCCTTGTCAGTGATGGAGGACGGAGGGCCTGACAAGGAAAACTGTCTAGTCGTTCGGATGGGACGAAAAACCGAGGTCCCGTGTACACATCGGCGTGCACGTAAAAGATCCCTTGACAGTTGGAATTTGATATAAGAGTAGGCCGTAGTGCCGCTGTCCGGGCAAAATTTCCCTCATAGCATACTGTAAGGCGTATGCCCGTCTTCATTAGCCCAGGTTTGGAGCAGAACAGTAGGACGTTAAACCCCATTTCATTTCATTTCATTTCCGGTTCGGAGCAGAACAGTAGGACGTTAAACCCCATTTCATTTCATTTCTTTAAGTTTGTCTCTCACAACTAAGCCAAATCCCGAAAACTGACCTTGACCTTTTAATGAAAGACAATCTATACTAATATTTGTGACTGTCGTTTGTCTGTCTGTTTGTCTGTCTGTTCGGGGTTTGCGGCTACACAAGGTCTGCCCCGAGTCTGAAATTTGGGGTATAGTGGTAGCTCGGACCGGGGAGTAACATAGGCCAGGTGGCGTTAGTCTACCACTTCCGGTTTCGGGGTTATGGTAAACTATAAGTCAAATACAACAGAAAAATAATATTTATTTAAAACCTGCATCAATGAGTAACAGAGAAATACTATAATATTTTACAAATACATACAATTTATTAAAGAAGCATTATGTAAGGTCAAAATCGGACAATTGCAGGTTCTTTTTTTTCGGGGGGGGGGGGGGCTTCGGAATTTATATAAACTAATTTTTAGAAATTTATGCACACGGTAAGCCTATAATCAACTGTCTAGACCATCGGACGGCCGAGATTTATATGGATTAGAACACCAGGGCGGGGTAAAAATTTAATGAGAAAATAAATGGATAATCAAGACTTGGTCTCGATTGTTAAGTACCGTTGCTACGATAATAAACAATACGCGCTCCATCTTCAAATAGTCATGGGGGGTTGGATGGCCGAATAGTTAGCATGTGCGCGCTGTATCATACGGTCTGTCATTGAGTCAACTGGCGGGGTTTCGATTCCCCGGTTGTACGTGACAAGGAGTAGGGTCGCCTGTCCAACCTCGTGGGTTTTCTCCGGGTCCTCCGGTTTCCTCCCACTGCTAAAGACCACTACGCACAAGCGAATTATTGAAATAAAATTGAACCGTATGTTAGTCCCAAAATGACTGGACGTTAAACCCCATTTCTCTCTCTCATATAGTCATAACTTCGCCCAGAATAAAGCAATTTGAATAAAAAATTTCAAATATTCATTTCTCATCATAGCAAGAACGGCTAGCTCTTTATATAAATCTTACATAATGCATCTTTAATTAGTCGGTTTCATAATATTGATAATATTTTATGAAGAAAGTATAATACCGGTGTCCCTATATACGGCTCTGGAATCTATATACAAAAGGCGCTACCTACTTTGCCATATTTGGGCATGCATTAATCATATGACGAAGAGTCAGTTCAGTATTGGTCAAAGTCAATTCTATCAAGGTTATCTCTTCATTGACTAAATAAGGTCTCTAACGCGCTATTTAGGAATACTTGGTTGCTCTGGGGGCTGTTTCACGAAATTTTAACTAAGATAAAATCCAAATTTTAGTAATTTGATTGGAGAATATTAGACTGATTTTAGTGCTTAGCCTATCAAAATTGAAGTATCTACTAAAATTTGGATTTTATCTTGGGGCCTGTTTCACGAAATTTTAACTTAGATAAAATCCAAATTTTAGTAATTTGATTGGATAATATTAGGCCGATTTTAGTGCTTAGCCAATCAAAATTGAAGTATCTACTAAAATTTTGATTTTATCTTTAGTTAAGATTTCGAGAAACGGGGCCCTGTTCTACGACTATGATCGGATCTGTGCTGCGCTATTTAGGAATATGATGACGGTTGTGTGTAATCTGGGTCAATATTTTGATAATCTCCAGTGGAAGCCCCTGGTTTTGGGGGTTTATTCAAATTGATATACTGGTGTAGTACATTGGCATAACCACCACCTGACTCCCCTCCTTTACCGGCTTCCTTTCTCTTGTTCTCGATGAGAATACCATTAGCATAGATGAGTCCACCCGATGTTCGGGGGTGACCAACGTTTTTAACGTTCACATAATCCCCAGGGGTAGTTTCGTCGACATCAGAAAACTCCGAGTCCCGATAACCATTGCCGTGATTGGGTAGCGCGGGTTGTGTTTTTCTGTACGCGACCGATGGTTCGTGTTTGCTTCGTTTTTGGCCTTTAAATGACATCAGATTATCAAGACGATTCAAAAATCTGACGTCATAAGGTGATTCCGATTCGATTGGTCGACGATTGGCATTGTGGGCGTCTGCTGATTCAAATTCAGAAGCGACCTCGTCTTCTAAACCCATGTCATGTGACCTTCGTTTTCTGAATAGAAAAGAAAAACGCAAATTGAATGGCTTCCAAAATACATACTATGATAATTAGCAATTGTTATAATGAAGGGATGGAATGGAACGTGTACTTCGGTCATTTTGAGACAAACTTAATATCCTTTTAATTTTGGTTTCTATGGTTACATATGTAATTAGAAGTAGGAACGACTTATGGTCGTTCCGATAGAAGAAAGAAAACAAGGTCCCATGAACTCATAAACAAATTTGTGGGAAGAAATGGGGTTTAACGCCTTACTGCTCCGACTGGGCAAATGAAGACGGGCATGCGCCATACAGTGTGCTATGAGGGAAATGTTGCCCGGTCAGCGGCACTAAGGCCTACTCTTATATCGAATTCCAACTGCCAAGGGATCTTTTACGTGCACGCCAATGTGTACACGGGACCTCAGTTTTTCGTCCCACCCAAACAACTAGACAGCTGTCCTTGTCTGGCCCTCCGTCCTGCACCACTGCTAAGGGGAAACCACGCCGGAACATGGTATTCAACCGAGAGAAGTCGAAAACGCCACTGTCCGCGTAAATTTCCCTCGTAGCTCACTGAATAACATAATGTCCGTTTCCATTAGCCGAGTTCCATTAGGATGTTAAACCGGCCATTTTATTCCATACTGAATTTTACTTAGTCAATATTTTAACAGGCTCCGGGTTGGGAAATACTGCCCTAAGGGTTATGATGCATTGTTATATATATTATTTTGATGAGAACGGTGTCATATATTTGAAGCAAGGAATAAATTAAGGATTAAAGTAAGAAATAAAGGAAGAAAGTAGGGATTAAAGTAAGAAATAAATTAAGTAAGGTTTAAAGTAAGAAATAAATTAAGTAAGGATTAAAGTAAGAAATAAATTAAGGAAGAAAGTAAGGATTAAAGTAGGAGGAAAGTAAGAAATAAAGTAAAGGAAGAGAGAGAGAGAGAAATGGGGTTTAACGTCCACTCGACACAAACTAGGTCATTTCGGGACTAACATATGGTTTAATTTTATTTCAATAATTCGCTTGCGCGTAGGGGTCTTTAGCAGTGGGAGGAACCCGGGGGACCCGGAGAAAACCCACGAGGTTGGACAGGCGACCCTACTCTTTGTCACGTACAACCGGGGATTCGAAACCACGCCAGTTGACTCAATGACAGGCCTTATGATACAGCACGCACGTGCTAACCATTCGGCCATCCAACCCCCCAGTAAAGGAAGAAAGTAAGGATTAAAGTAAGAAACAAACAAGTCAACAGTGAGGCTGATGTCCCCCGTCGAAATCCCAAAATAAATAGATGACACATATTAATTAATCACAAATTTATTTTTTTCAAAAGTATCGACCAATCAAACTACACACTAAGTTTCATCACTCTCTATCAGATACAATCAAGATTATCTCGCCCCAAAGCATCGACCAATGAAATTGATTAGCTCTGCTTAGCTTTAGCTTGAAATGTTAATCACTGAAATCAGTTCATTCACCTAAAAGCAGAGTTTTTATGTTCCACAGTCTTGACCAATCAAATTGCTTATCGCTCCTTAGACCAGGCAGAAAATTCGCACAATCGAACTTAGTCAAGGTAATGATATAATGAATCTATATTCAGAGTTCCATTGCTCTCACTTCATTATAACCCAAGTTATCGTGCCCCTAAAGCATCAACCAATCAGATTGCTTATCTCTGCCTACCGTAAGCAGACAATGTTCATCATCGAACTCCATCAAGGGATTCACCTAATGGATGCCTACACCAAGTTTGAACATTCTACCTCAATTAGAAGGAGAGTTATTGTGTTCCAAAGTCTCGACCAATCAAATTGCTTATCGCTCTGCTTACCCTCAGCAGAAAATGTTCATTATCAAACTTAGTCAAGGTATTGATGTAATAAAGCTATACACCAAGTGCCCTCACTCTCACTTAATTAAAACTAAAGTTATCGCGCCCCAAAGCACCAACCAATCAAATTGCTTATCTCTGCTAACCCTTAACAGAAACTGCTCTTCTTCGAACTCCATCAAGGCAATGACCCAATAAACACCTACACCAAGTTTGAACATTCTAGCTCAATTAGAAGGAGAGTTATTGTGTTCCAAAATCTTGGCCAATCAAATTGCTTATCACTCTGCTTACCCTGAGCAGAAAATGCTCATTTTCGAACTTAGTCAAGGTATTGATGTAATGAAACTATACACCAAGTTTCATCACTCTCACTTAATTAGAACTAAAGTTATCGTGTCCCAAAGCATCAAATTGCTTATCTCCGCTTACCCTAAGCGGAAAATGCTTATCTTCGAAACTCCATCACGTCATTGACCTAATAAACACCTACACCAAGTTTGAACATTCTAGTGCAATTAGAAAGAGAGTTATTGTGTCCCAAAAAGTGTGACGGACAGATAGACAGACGGAAGAAAGTAAGGATCAAAGTAAGAAATAAAGTAAAGTAAGGATTAAAGTAAGAGATAAAGTAAAGAGAGAAAGTAAGGATTAAGGGAAGAAATGAATTAAAGGAAGAAAGTAAGGGATAAAGTAAAGTAAGAAAGTAAGGATTGATGGAAGAAATAAATTAAAGGAAGAAAGTAAGGGGTAAAGTAAGAAAGTAAGGATTAAGAGAAGAAATAAATTAAAGGAAGAAAGTAAGGGATAAAGTAAAGTAAAAAAAGTAAGGATTGATGGAAGAAATAAATTAACGGAAGAAAGTAAGGGATAAAGTAAAGTAAGAAAGTAAGGATTGATGGAAGAAATAAATTAAAGGAAGAAAGTAAGGGATAAAGTAGAGTAAGAAAGTAAGGATTAAGAGAAGAAATAAATTAAAGGAAGAAAGTAAGGGATAAAGTAAAGAAATAAAGTATAGGAAGAAAGTAAGACATAAAGTAAAGAAATAAAGTATAGGAAGGAAGTAAGGATTAAAGGAAGAGAAATAAATTAAGGAATAAATGCAGGATTAAAGTAAGGATTAAAGGAAGACATAATGTAAAGTAAGGAAGGAAGTAAAGTAAAGTAAGAAAGTAAGGATTAAAGTAAGAAATAAATTAAGGATTACCTGGCTCTCCAACAATGACAGATACAGATGGACATCACAAGAATATAAATTACACCGACAGTTGATCCAGCGATGATAAATGGAAGAGCCAGAAACGAAAATTCTAACAATTCTGAAAGCAAATAAAAGTGTTATTATTGAATAGTTAAACATGCATTATGCAAGAGCTAAATCTGCCTATTGCAGGTCTTTCTTTAGGCCTGAAATGTTTTCTAAAGTATTAATTAGACATTAATTAACTGATCCAGGCCTTAATCAACTCTCGATGGCATCAGATTTCTCCGATATTAAATAGATTAGAATGGTTCATCGATACTTTGATTTAATCAAATATAGAGGACCGAGACTTAGCTTCGATCAACCAGTACGGTGGTTGAAATTATTGCACACGTCTGTCAAACCTTCAAAGGCTAATATCTTCGCTTGCAATAGAGTGATTTGAATGAAATTTTCAAATTATTCATTTTACATCATCTACTTTCGAACTATTATAGCAAGCATAACTAGTTTTTTTTTATCTAAATCTTACATAATGTATCTTTAACAGAAAGGCCTTTTGTCCAATATTCCAATCCCAATATCAATGCGTAGGACATGCCCGGTTGTCACATCTGTCATACACGATAAGACTAAATAAACTTTTTCAATTGTATTAAATGGAAGCAGAATAAATCCTTAACAAAATTCTCGAAGTTTACTTTGTGTTTTCGACTAAAATCGTCGATTTAGGACTTAAAATGTCTGTCAACTAGCTTAGTGTCTGTTCTCAAGCGGAGCTAACTGTAGACAGACAGCCTAAGTTTAGTATGAACCTACTGTTCACGTGTCTGTAGATAATGTAGCTATAAGTTAGGGAATTGTGAAGTAAACAAGCAACGTCCAGATGTTGTAAAACTCCTAGTCGTTGCTTCAGGAATATGAGGAATACCAAGAGAAGCGAGGCACCATATATAGCTAAACCAGTAAAGGGGTCCCACAATCTTAAGAATATCTGAGGCTCCCGAGCAATGTATTAGGTGCTCTGGACTCCAGAGTCTGGAGCAATTACATTGAATCGGGTCCCAATAAAATCACAAAAAGATATTTTGGAAATAATTTCACAGTCCCTCAGATGAAGTTCAGGGACTTTAATCTGTATTTCAAATCATCATTGATGTGTGTGTCCAATATTTACCGGTGGGTTGAATAGCCGAATGGTTATCGCGTGTGCGTTGTATCATAAGGTCTGTCATTGAGTCAACAGGCGTGGTTTCGATTCCCCGGTTGTACGTGACAAGGAGTAGGGTCGTCTGTCCAAAATCGTCGGTTTTCTCCGGGTCCTCCGGTTTCCTCCCACTACTAAAGACCCTTACGCGCAAGCGAATTATTGAAACAAAATTGAACCATATGTTAGTCCCGAAATGACCTAGTTTGTGTCGAGTGGACGTTAAACCCCATTTTTCTCCAATACACTTACCATATTTACACAGTGGTTCGTAATACCCTTCCACACAACCGTCTGAACATCTACCAGTGACAGCATCACATTGTGTTACCAGGCGACAAAAACCACATATATTAGAACAGTTTACACCATAAAATCCAGTTGGACAAGCTGAAATTGGAAATTAGTCATTTTTTTTTTATAAAATTATATCATGTTTTAATCAGGGACGTCAGTGGTGCAGGACGTACAGCCGTTAGGATGGGACGAAAAACGGGGGCCCCGTGTGTATATATTGGCAAGCACGTAAAAGATCCCTTGACAGTTGGAATTCGATAGTAGGTCATAGTGCCGCTGCCATGGAAAAATTTCCCTCATAGCACACTGTATGGCGTATGCCCGTCTTCATTAGCCCAGAGGGGGGTTGGATGGCCGAATTGTTAACACGCGCGTGCTGTATCACAAGGCCTGTCATTGAGTCAACTGGCGTGGTTTCGAATTCCCGGTTGTACGTGACAAGGAGTAGGGTCGGCTGTCCAACCTCGTTGGTTTTCTCCGGGTCCTCCGGTTTCCTCCCATTGCTAAAGACCCCTACGCGTAAGCGAATTGTTGAAATAAAATTAAACCATATGTTAGTCCCGAAATGACCTACTTTGTGTCGAGTGGACGTTAAACCCCATTTGTCTCTCTCTCTCTCTCTCTCTCTCTCTCTCTCTCTCTCTCTCTCTCTCTCTCATTTGCCCAGTCCTAGACGAACAGTAGGACGTTAAACCCCATTTCATTTCAATTCATTAGTCATTTTTGTTTTATAAAATTATATATTCTAATCAGGCACGTCAGTGGTGCAGGACGTATAGTCGTTACGATGGGACCAAAAACGGAGATCACCTGTGCCTACACTGCATTGGCATGCACATAAAAAACCCTTGACAGTTTAAATTCGATATACGAGTAGGCCGTCGCGGCGCTGCCCAGACAGAATTTCCCCATAGCACACTGTATGGCGTCTGAACCAGGGGCGCCGGAACCCGAGTATCAGGGTATACAGATGGTACCTTGCCCTTTTCTGGGGTAATGATGAAAGTTTTCAACCTTTTTACTAGTCTATTCATTTTTAAATGATAGATATGTAATTGCTCTCTGGTCAGTCGCGAACCGGCTTTTGCACTCTCATTATCAGCTAAGAGTGCATGCCTTGGCTAGATGTCTATGTTGGAATTTGGAATGCTAAAGGCGCTCTAAACAGCGTTCTCGGAATTGACAAATTTCAAAATTTTCTAGAGGCCCGGGGGGAGAGACCCCCCTCCCCCTATCTTTTGGTACCCTGGCGCCCCTGGTCTGAACAGAACAGTAGGACGTTAAACCCCATTATATTTATTTCATTTCTGATCCGGCACAAGATGCCCGACTGGTTCATATATATCTCAAAAATCAAAATCTCATATTATCTTTTTAAATACTGAATAGAATTGAACCATTATAAAATAACATCCCTTTTAGAGGTCCAACTTTTATAATATGGCAGTATGCAAATTATTCAAAATCTGGGGGGGGGGGGGTGTAGTGGTTTAACGCATGCGCTTGAAATGATACGGTCTCTCATTGAGTCAAGTGATGTGGTTTCGATTCCCCGCTTGTACGTGACAAGGAGTAGGGTTGCCTGTTCATCCTCGTGGGTTTTCTCTGTGTCCTCTGGTTTCCTCCCACTGCTAAAGACTCCAAAGAGCAAGCGAATTATTGAAATAAATTGAACCATGTGACCTAGTTTGTCTAGTCTTCATAATCCCTCAAGTGACAATTAGAGATTTTAACCTATTTAGTAATGAGAATCCCATCCTACGCCACCAGTGGATACTGGATACAGCAATATTATGAATTAGAAATGATATTGATAAAATGTCACTCACGCATTTTACAGTACGGGATGCGCCATCCATCTTCACACCCCAGCGGACATTCTCCATTTTCACTGGAACAGGATTCATTATTGAAACAGCTTCCACAAGGAAATATACAGTCTGGTCCAAAAGTAAACGGCTCACATTCTAAAATTTAAAAAAAGATATATAGTTAAAAACAGTAGGTCTGTTATCATTGGTGGGGGGGATAACGTGTGCGCATTGGGCGTCACACATGGGGGGGGGGGTGCGGGGGGCGTTTTCGACACCCCCCCCCCCCCAATTGTTTTTCGGGTGGGGGCCCTGAATATACTTGGACCCCCCCCCCCCCCAATAAAAAATAAAAAAAATAAAAAATTTACAACAATTATTAGGATTAGTTAAGATTCTATCTGTATAAAACAATGTACAAATTAAAACACAAACAATTATGTTTACTTTTTGAAATCCATTTATAATACACAAAATATTTTAAATATCTATACAACTTCCTTGTAAATGTCAATGTGTATATGTATGTCGTAGTTAACAAAGTGATTGTCAAATATGCATCCTCATAAACTAAAGTTATGTGATCAAGTTTTGTTTCATTTGGATCCTCCTCATAAAAATTCCCCAACTAAACTCTCTTTGTCGTGTTGTTCATAACTCTAGCGTAACTTTCAATATGTAAAAGCCATGAAAAAAATATGAATACGGTACCCCCTGACTTAAACAAGATAAACATTGTATGGGTGTGATGTTTTAGTTTAACCCCGTAAAATATGCCAAAATAGTGTTTACAGTTAAGAGTGAAACTTTAAAAGAAAAATTATGGGGCTTTGCCGGTTGCCCCCCCCCCCCCCCCCCAGTGGGAGGGTGACCCTCCGACACACTCTCCCTATCGCGCTACGTCGCCTCTGTCTGTCATTGAGACAGTCAAGTGGCGTGGTTTCGACTCTGTAGATTTTGTGGAGGAACATATAACGGATGAGCATTCTATAGTTTCAGGGGCGGATCCAGGAGGGGGGGGGTCAGAAACAAGTGTACATAATATGTACATTTTTATTATCAATCGATCCGGGGAGGGGGCTATAATTTCACCCACCCCACACACACACACCCCCGCCCCCCACCAAAAAAACCCCAAACACATGTCAATCTATGTAGAGTTTTAAAGCAAGAATAGTCAGTAATACACTATGCTGTCCCGGTGGAATTTTGTCTCCCCCCACCTTCGCAAAAATTAACAAATAATCTGCAGGCGGAATCCCCAAAAATTGAAAGTCGTTCCAGTTGGTCAATGATTAAGGGGAAATAACTACATTTCTGATTATCTCCCCCTAACTAACAACTACATAGAGGGAGCTGCAACAATTTCTAGAAGAGGCATTTTTGTAAGCTTCCAGCTTTTTCCTGGTATTTCACTGGTAAATAAATTCATGTCAGCTTGGAAAGTCGCAGACAGGATCCGAGGAACCTATAGGTAACTCAAACATATTGTTTGCGGAATAAAATTTAGATTGTAATGCGATATTTTTCCTCAAGTCATTTTTGCACAATGTGAAACCGATCAACGCCATCATGGCCGCCAACTTTGTACTCAAGATTATCCAGACCCTTGACGACGATACTACAAAGGCGTGGCGCGATCTCCACAATTAAAAACGCGGCTATATTTCAGTATCGCACCTCTACCAGTTCCCATGATCGTAGATACTTGAAATTTTCAGGGGGTATTCATGGGGCCTAGCCATGACCTCACACCAAATTTCAGCCGAATCTGTCAATAACTTTTTATTTTACTGTAGTTTAGCTTATAGTACGAGAGAAAGTTTATCCGATTTTGACGGCATTTTGTTTGTTGGCTATTTAGACTCGAATAACAAGACAGGGTTAGGGTTAGGGCTAGTCCTGTCTACATCTTGAGACTATGACGAAATCTACAGGTCCTAGCCCTTATCCTAACCCTTATCCTAACCCACAATCCACATATGACGTCATTCGAGCCTTAATAGTCAACAAACAAAATGGCGTCAAAATCGGATAAACTTATCTCTTATAGAAGCTAAACTAAGGTAAAATAAAAAGTTATTGACCGATTCGGCTGAAATTTGGTGTGAGGTCATTGCTAGCCCACCTGAACATCCCCTGAAAATTTCAAGTCTCTACGACCCCGGGAACTGGTAGAGGTGCGATACTGAAAAACATTTTGTTTCATACAGTGGTTTTCAATAAAATTGTTTACACGTTGCATGCAATTAAATGATTATTTTCGAAGATCACATTTTCTTGTCGATCTGACTCTACCTTTCTTGTAAAACTAGTCCTTTGTTGTGTGAATGTGATGGAATCTCACCACGGCACGTGCACCATTATTACTGACATTACATCATATGTCCATGATCATCTCCGATCAATCTGGTTAAAACACAGATCCTATTTCGTTTCGTTTTTATAGTTCAAAATTTTGTTTTACTTGTCTTTACTACAATTGGATCTGGAAGAGTTGAATGTTATTTAACTCGTGTTCTGAATGGTGTCAGGGATAAGCCAATGAAACAGTCTGTTACGGCAAGCTTTAGGCGTGTTTTGCACGGAACTGTGGGTAATCCACTAGTAACATCAATGCTGACATCATAGGGTCATAAGTCGGTCTTTTGACCCCTGACGTGACCTGTCGCTATAACTTGTCAGTAGAGTGGCCCACAGACTCAATTCTCTGTACTATATAAACGCTTACAAATGTTAAATTCAATCGTTAATTGTACGTACGTAAAAACGAAGAAAACCGACTGCTGAAATTAAGAATTCGTTTTCCAGAGCAAAATTTGAAACTTTGATGTGACCAAGAAACATAACTCTTTTTAATGAAAAAATCTACCGCTGTGACGCTACTTGGGCGATCAACTTTTCCATATACCGGTATTAGAAACTCCCATTTAAATGGCCAAATCACACAAATATCCAACTTAGCAATAGTTTAATTGTTAATGAATGATGATTTTAATGGTAAGTCTTATCATATTTGTTAAACTAAGCCCCAAATATAGCTCGTTTATTGGATTTTTGTTATTTGCACGAACCACTCTATTGTCAGATCTTCATGTAGTATAGGCCATCGAAAGTATAAAAAAACGAAACGAAAGATAGATCTGTATTTTAATCAGTTTTGTGAAACGCCACCATTTTAACCCTTTCAATGCTAGACGTAAATCCACTGCCTGTGCTAGACCCTTTTTTGAGGAAAAAAGGGAGGTTGGAACTGAATGCCAAGCAGTACTTATGGAAGCTTTTATGAAAAATCTTTTTGTCTGTTGGGATGGGCATGAGGTTGGACTAAGAGGAAAAAATAGAATTTTGGAAATTTGCATAATAATGTAGTCACGTGACGTCATGGCGGCCATTTTGGATTTCTCATTTCTCACTAAAGCCAACACGAAAACGATTTTTTCTCCATGAAATACTTAAAAGATATTGTTTTTTTCACTGGATTTTGATAAAGATATATAAAATGAACAAAAATATCAATAGCAGCCATGAATAATGCCGCCACGAACACGCGCATCACGTCTCCCGCTGCCATGACCACGTGCGGATTGCAATACCTTGTTTTTACTTTCACTTTCATCCCCTATATCATTATCAATATAGTCAGTCAATAGATCTACACGTTCGGGACTCAGGAATTGCCTACGTCTTTTACGATCCAGCAGGCCAGCATTATTATCAACATCAGAATTATTGTCAGAATCTACTGCAGACACAGGGCTATCGTGTTCACATTGGGCTTGTTCATCATGCACGGGAGACATAGCTAGCCATGGGCAGAACGTCGCGCAACAAATCACACACTTCATAATACCAATCACTGTCCTGACTACTATCATTATCAAGTAACTGGAAACGAATTATGTGTATCACCCACCTCGAAATTGTCCGTGTGTTGGTCAGCAAGACGTCATTCACGACTTCGTCGAGAGTGCATCGTCTACGTTGTCACTATGCACTCCGCCATTTTACGGTTTGCCGCTTTGTAACACGTGGAAATATGTTCTAGTGTATAGAAAATACAATAGATGGCACTTGCAGTTACGGTACTAATTTTAGCAAGGGCTTTACTGAGTACATGGTAATACCGGGTACGCGCATTTTACCGACATTTTATAATACCCGGTACTACCGGGTATACGCAGTGAAAGGGTTAAGATAAGATAAAATTTTAACTTAGAATATTACTTTAGTAAATTTTATCTAATATGCTTAAAATCGTGTGAAACTGAAACACATCCATCTTAAGTTGGGATGAAATTTTAGTTTTAAGACGATTTTAAGGAGATTTAAGTTTTGTGAAACAGGGCCCTGTTTTTTAAATTTGTGGAATGAAAAGACCCACGTAAATTTGGGATGAAACAGCTCCGGATAAAACAGCACGAGATGAACCGGTAGTGGGATTTAAACAACCTGCTCCCATTATCATGACCTGGAATCACGCAAACAGGCTCTAATTTTTGACCACTGAGCTAGAAATAAATTTATTCTCGTCTCGGCTGTTTTGAATATGGTACAATTCTTGCACCCAAATCCCCCTAGGTTAATTTGTTACAATTACCAATTTAAAGGTTACCATTACCATATTAGATGCTAATTTCATACCCTGCACAAATAATGTAGTTATTGAGTTCTATATGTATAAAAAAGGAAGATATGTGCGGTACTGTTTAATGGATGACTGTCACATTTAATTTTTACATGAAAGAAAAATTAAGTCCACCTGTCACCAGCAATTGACAGACCAGTTTTGCTTTCTAGGATGTCAGTCGTAAAAATCACACATTAGCAAAATTGTAGGCAAACATTTCCAGCCACAAGTCATTGTTGCATGTACATGTACAAATACATGTAGTGTGGTGGATGGTTTCTATTGAATTTCAAGTATACTAATGTCCAGAAGAAAGTATACACACTAAAAATATGGCTAAGTTTTATTTAGATTAAAAACATTTGATAAAACATTGCGTCAAAACTCAACATTTCTAAGCAAAATAAAAAAGCGAAACAAATTGACATTGTTCCCAAATGCCGCATACGAGGGCCTGACAAGGACAGCTGTCTAGTCCTTTGGATGATACGAAAAACCGAGGTCCCATGTATACATTGGAATGCACGTAAAAGATCCCTTGGCAGTTGGAATTCGATATAAGAGCAGGTGATAGTGCCGCTGCCCAGGCACACTGTATGATCGTATGCCCGTCTTCATTAGCCCAGCATAGGAGCAGAACAGTAGGACGTTAAACCCCATTTCATTTCATTTCAGATGGAAAATGACTTTGGTTGATTCAGCACAAAATGCACAGTGTATACTTTCTTTTGGACATTAGTACATGTATATGTATATTAGCTCTACAGTAAAGTGCGCGCGCTGTATCATAAAGTCTGCCATTGAGTCGACTGGCGTGGTTTCGAATCCCCAGTTGTACGTGGCAAGGAGTAGGGTCGCCTGTCCAACCTCGTGGGTTTTCTCCGGGGCCTACGGTTTCCTCCCACTGCTAAAAACCCCTACGCGCAAGCGAATTATTGAAATAAAATGAAACCATATGTTAGTCCGAAATGACCTAGTTTGTGTCGAGTGGACGTTAAACCCCATTTCTCTCTCTCTCTTTTTTGGACATTAGTATATGTATGTTAGCTCTACAGTATAGTGAACATCAAAAATATAATTAAAGAATTGATGCTTGTTCTCATGGAATTTCCTTGATTGATTTGTTTATCGTTCTTCACTTTAACTCAATATTATCCGTAGTATTCGATATTAAAAACACTAAATTTAGTAATGGTCCATTTCAATCAGTAAATAAACTCAATAAACAGTTTAAAATCGGTTTTCAACATCAGGTCATGTTCTTGTTTGGGGGTGGGGGGGCCCAAATGGTTAACACGTGCACGTTGCATCATAAGGTTTGTCATTGAGTTAAGTGGCGTTGTTTTGGTTCCCAACAAGGAGTCATTAAAGATTCCTGCAAATTAGCTAAATCGCTCTCCTAAAAATTGAGATTAATAAACTACTTTCAGTTTTTGTTTATTTTTAAAATGTATACGTTCAAGCTACCAATTTCCATGATAATTCTGACGCTACCATATTCACCAAACAAATGGCCCTCGTTTTCATTCTGATATCAAATGCTAATGTAAGGCAGTATCTTCCATAAGAACATATAAAAAGAATATTAAGTCTAAAGCATAAATACAATTTGGTTCTCGAGAAATATAGAATTACTCTTGCAATATAATTTAGAAGAGTTTTTTTACGAGCAGGTTTTTTTTTTTAATTAGAAAGAGCTTTTTATGGCTTTTGCACGATTTCATAAACGTGAAGGACTGGATGTATGTCAGTGATGGGATTTCCCAATCGGACATCAAGATATGGTGAATGTGCTTTTTGACCTATTTTCATCTACTTTAAGGTTCCAAAGATCTGGGGCCTTTTTCATGAAATTTGAGTAATTTGATTGGATAATATTAGATTGATTTTAGTGCTTAACCTATCAAAATTGAAGTATCTACTACAATTTGGATTTTTTCTTTAGTTAAACATACATTATGCAAGAGCTAAATCTGCTGCCTATTGCAGGTCTTTCTTTAGGCCTGAAATGTTTTCTAAATTATTAATTAGACATTAATTAACTTATCCAGGCCATAATCAACTCTCGATGGCATCAGATTTCCCCGATATTAAATAGATTAGAACAGTTCAGTCATATTTTGATTTAAGCTTAAAATGGAGGAGCCAGACTTAGCTTTGAACAACCAGTACGGTGGTTGAAATTATTGCACACGTCTTGTCAAACCTTCAAAGGCTAATATCTTCGCTCGCAATAAGGTAATTTGAATGAAATTTTCAAATTATTCATTTTACATTATCTATTTTCGAACTATTATAGCAAGAATGGCTAGTTTTTTTTTTATCTAACTCTTACATAATGTACCTTTAATATTTCGAGAAAAAGGGCCCAGGGCTATACACTCTTTATCATAGTTTTAAATACCATTCCCTTTTTTTTTTCTCTCTAGAAAATGGAAATAAAACAGGAGGTAGAAGGATTCCGAAAGGAATTTGAAATTTTTTGTGCCCAGTTTCATGAAAATCTAATAAAATGTGGAAAGGTGGCTACTGTTATGACTTTAAAGCAAGAAGAGGAACTTACAAAATATCTGCTGACACCTCAAGATGAAACGGGTAGTTCTTCTACAGAGATAGCAAGCTGGCTAGAGAATAATGTATTTTGTTTGGTCTCAAATGAAGATGAAAGTCATTATGAACTTCACATTTGGGTAAGGATATTTTTTTTTTTTTTACCCTTAGATACAAAAAACTAGATGTCAGAATTGTAATTTGAAAGATTAAACCATTACGGACATGTACTAGATCCAGACAAGATCTTATATTTTTGCTGATCGCATGGTTAGCGAGTGCGTACTGCATCATAAGGCCTGTCATTGAGTCAACCGGCTTGATTTGCATTCCCTGTTTGTACATGTACGTGACAATGAGTAGAGCTGCCTGTCCAACCTCGTGGGTTTTCTCTCGGTCCTCCGGTTTCCTCCCACTGCTAAAGACCCCTACGCGAAAGCGAATTATTGAAATAGAATTATTTTCCGGTGTGCTTCTCCCAAAATTAAACCATATGTTAGTCTCGAAATGACCTAGTCTGTGTGGAGTGGAATTCAAATCTCTCTCTCTCTCTTTCTCTCATCCTCACTTTAAATTTATTCAAATTATTAGATCATCCAGCTCAGATTGTTACACATTATCTTTTCTGTATATGCTGTATACTATATGTTCAAGACTACCGTAATTCATTATGTCAAATATTTTTTTCAGAATGATACCCAAAGAAAAGTAGTTTCCATCGAAAATTATTTTACTGTTTTAAATTCCATGTTTGCTGAGACCGGTAATATCAGCCATGACAAGTTTTTAAAGAAGGTCTGTATACATTTATATTATTACAGTAAACTTCGCATAAGACAAATTCGTATAAAATGAAATGAAATGAAATGGGGTTTAACGTCCTACTGTTTTGCTCCGAACTGGGCTAATGAAGACGGGCATACGCCATACAGTGTGCTATGAGGGAAATTTTGCCCGGACAGCGGCACTACGGCCTACTCTTATATCGAATTCCAACTGTCAAGGGATCTTTTACGTGCACGCCAATGTGTACACGGGACCTCGGTTTTTCTTCCCATCCGAACGACTAGACAGCTTTCCTTGTCAGCCCCTCCGTCCTGCATCACAAATTCGTATAGGTTGAATCTTCGCTCAACTCGATAAAATCGTTTATTATAGATGTTATGTATACACATGTATATATTGTGTTGTTTATTTTGACAGGTAAATGAAAAATATGCTTTAATACCTGAGGAAGTTGTTAAATACTTTATTAATAATGTGACCAAAAAACCAAAGTTCAAGGTAACAGTACAGGTAAAAGAAAATTATTTAGTTTTATTTTAAAAGATACATTCCCCGCATACAAATTGTGTGATTTGATGATATATTCAACATGATCATACTAATCAATCTATCAAAAATTTGCTTCAATTCCCTCTCAAAACTTTGTATTCGCCGGGGATACCTATATCTATAAATAAACTGTTTTTAGATGTCATGTCTGTCCCCCTTGCTTCATTTTCAGAATGTATTTTTCATTACTTACTGTCCAATTACCATACGTATTGAAGCCTAAGTAAATTCTTAATTATTTTCTGTCAACTTCTTTTTCTGTCGTTTCATTTTATACGTTGACACCCCCTCAATGTTACAATTTTTCCCCCCGCTGCTAAAGACCAAGTACGTGACAAGGAGTAGGGTCGCCTGTCCATCCTCGTGGGTTTTCTCTGGGTCCTCCGGTTTCCTCCCACTGCTAAAGACCCCTACGCGCAAGCGAATTAATGAAATAAAATTAAACCATTTGTTAGTCCCGAAATGACCTAGTTTGTGTCATGTGAACGTTAAACCCCATTTCTCTCTCTCTCGCTAAAGACCAATACATGCTAGCAAATTATTCAAATAGAATTGAATGTCCCAAAATTTGTTACATTGTCATTTATAGGTGTAAAGTTGTTTTGAAATATTATTGGGACTTACTTAGTTATTACAGATGCATTCCCGAGTACACACTGTGTGATTTGATGATATATTTGGACTAAAAACATATTGAAACTAATTAGTTTATCTTCAAATCCCATTTCGAATCCCCGGTTGTACGTGACAAGGAGTAGGGTCGCCTGTCCGGCCTTGTGGGTTATCTCCAAGTCCTCCGGTTTCCTCCCACTGCTAAAGACAACTACGCGCAAGCGAATAATTGAAATAAAAATTAAAAACCATATGTTAGTCCCGAAATGACCTAGTTTGTGTCGAGTGGACATTAAACCCCATTTCTCTCTCTCGGTTCAAATCCCTCTCAATACTTTGTATTCATGGGGAGATTCCTACTATTTGATCAAGAAATAACAACCACTCCATCAGTCAAGCTAGCACACAAGAAGCCGGCAGACATCAGTCGGGTTGCCAGTTAGTGATACCTTGACATTTTTGCCCAGTGCTTGCCCCTTGGGTGTTCTTCGGGTAATCCAGTATTTTTTTAGTAAGATTGAGCTATATATAGATCAAATTTGCCATACTTTTATTGGAAATAACCACCCAATAAATACTTTCTGGACAATGTATCTTTAATTCATTGATAATTTAAACGTAGTGCAACAAGACTAATCACCGTACAGGGAAGGGGGGGGCGGTGGAGGCGGTGTCTTGAGTGGTGTAATGCTTTAGTTATTAAGGTCTATCAATGTGTCAGGCGCTGTTTTCAATCTCACACTTGTACATGACAATGAGTAGCATCGCCTTCCCAATCCCACCGGCGGGGCAGGTGGGTGTCAGAAGTCCTCCAGTCGTTTCACCCCCCCCCCCCCCAACCTTTTGCTAAAGACGGGCTAGATGGGTGTCAGAGGTCCTCCAGTCGTTTCACCCCCCCCCCACTCTTTTCCTAATCTCACCGGTGGGGTAGGTGGGTGTCAGAGGTCCTCCAGCCGTCCCCCCCACCCTTTTGCTAAAGACCATTACGTGGGAATATTAAACCTAATTATTTATAATAACGTTTATAGGTGTAAAGTTGTTATTAAATCTTATTTATTTATATTACAGAATAAAGAAAATAAAGTGTATGGATGTAAAGTTATCAGCTACGAATATCTGAAAAAACGAGTAGTAAAGAAACGAATATTAACTGAAATCTTTGACAAATCCAATGGAAAAGTTTTACAGTCAAGATGTCATGAAGAGGTATATGTTTGTATTGTTTCTTAATAATTAGGTGAAATAAATAAACTATTTCTCAGTCATTGTGTGGGGGGGGGAATGGCCGAATGGTTAGCGCGCACGTGGTGTATCATAATGTCTGTCATTGAGTCAACTGGCGTGGTTTCGATTTCCTGGTTGTACGTGACAAGAAATAGTGTCGCCTGCTAAAGACCCCTACTCGCAAGTGAATTATTGAAAGCAGATTGAAGATTGAACTATATGTTAGTCCCATAATGACCTGGTTTGCGTCGAGTGGACTTAAACCCCATCTCTCTCTCTCTCTCTCTCTCTCAAATTGGAAATATCGCTCAATAAAAAAGCTCTTCCAGTTTCGATAAGAAAAGTGATTTAGAAATTAGGGAGAGTGATCTGATATTAAGGAGCGTGATTAGTTCTGAAGATCAATAACTGCGTGTAAGGGGTCATTCCGGGTTACATAAATGATAATAAACATTGTTTGCTAAATAATAGCACTTGTAGTCGTTGGATCAAGTCAAACTTTTGCTGTCGTCTAAACCTACATACGATATTCCAATACTTGTCGACATTTCTAAATATATATAGCATTGGCATGTACTTAAAATATCCCTTGGCAGATGGAATTTGATATAAGAGTAGGTCGTAGCACTCTGTATGACGTATTCACATCTTCATTAGCCCAGTTGGAGCAGAACAGTAGGACGTTAAACCCCATTTCATTTCATTTCCTATTTCTGTTACAGGATCCACTCGAAGAAGATGTATTTTACGTGGAGAAAACCGAAAAACTCAGTGACATCACAAACACTAAATTCACGGAAGTAAGTTCCACGACATACTCCTCCAACCAAGCGTTAGAGATCAAATATCTAGGCAAGACCTCCGTGGCTTATTTACCACCTGGTGAGATCAACAACCAAGATCACCTGGTCGCTCTCAGTAATGTCATCTACTCCGTGAACGATTTTCCAGAAAATACCGGAGACATTCAACTCGAATTCGTCATTCCTCAAAAACAGCCCACGAAGGTGTTTTCGGAGATCGAGTCACTTTTATCCCTGATTGAAAAAACTGACAGTGGTTCTAAACCGACCGAACCAAAAACTCTAGTAAAAACGCCTAAAAAGAACACTGATACTAAGACTCGACCTAATATGGTCATTACTCCTCCAGGCAAGTTGGCAATCGTAGCTAATCCTAAAACACGAGGTGCTACACTGAAACATCTTTTTAATGAACCATTGATCTCTGAATCCAAAATTCCAAGTTATTCAGAACTAAACGCCGCTGCAGCCACTGATATTGTTGAGACTGCGATGGAGGAGGACGATGATAATGATGATGACGATGATGATGATGACAATGGTCATGATTTCCTGGAGAATGTAGATGATTTATTTGAAGACAGTGCTGCACCAGAAGTCCCAGCACAGGTAATTAATTCATCTTTATCTTCTTCTTTTCGTATTTCTGATTCTCGTAAATGTTCGACCAGGCAAATGTCTTCTAGAGAAAACGAGTGTGACGTCTGTCATAAGGTTTTTAAAAATAAAAGACGTGTAAGAATACATAAGAAACGAATTCATTCTCTGAGGATAAAACGTGTTTACCGAGTATGCACAATATGTAAAAAGTCCTTTTCATCCTTGAGTGCCTTTAAATATCATAAAAGTATTCATACCAAACGAAAACCAATTTCTTGTTCCCAGTGTCAGAAGAATTTTATTTGTCAAGATTCGTTAAGTATGCACATAAAACGTTGCCATCTTTCCACAACCAATAAAAAAAACTTTTCTTGTCAGGAGTGTGGTAGAGAATATACGTCCCGGGCTGGTTACGATTATCACCTTCAGTCTCACAAAAAACAGAAGTTTCCATGTTCCGACTGCGACAAGGTCTTTTGCAGTAGCAAAACTTTAAATACTCATTTCCGTAACATTCATTCAGCCGAAGATCCGTCTTTTCCACGACATAAGTGTCGTTTCTGTGGAAAGGTTATTCTTTCGCAACAGATGCTCACGTTACACATTAAAACTGACCACGCGGATCACAAGGAAACGACAAAACAGGAATTTACCACCGACTTTAATCACAAAGGATTAAAATTTTACAAGTGTGAAAAATGCGAAAAAGTGCTTCAATCATCGAATGGTTTATATTATCATCTTAAGACCCATATGGAACCGCAGCATCAGTGCCACCTGTGTAAGCAAGCGTTCAAATTGACGGCAAAGTTAAATCGTCACTTACATCAAGTACATGACCTAGATCTTAGTGTGGACCAGCAACATGGTTGTCCCGATTGCTATAAAACTTTTCTGTATGTATCCAGTTTGAGAACGCACAGGAAATACCATTGTCATCCTGGAACGATCAAAAAAAAAAACACAGGCTACACCATTCAAGTCAGTAGCGAGGGAGGAAAAAAGTATACATGCAAACAATGTGGGAAGGAATACACAACACGAGGGGGCGTGGGTCATCATATGAATACACATCTGAATGTTGAACACAAGTGTGAGATCTGTAGTAAGTCATACAATACGAGCAAAGTATTGAAAAATCATATTAAAATGGTACACGAAATACAAGAATTGGAGTGTAACATTTGTTATAGAGATTATAAAACACCAGCGTCTTTGCGACGTCACATTACACAGGTCCACGGTTCACAGGCCCCTGGTCAGAGAGTTTATTATATGTGCCCGGATTGCGAGTTAGCGTTTACGTCCACCGCTTATTACGCTGAGCACATTCAAACACTTCATCCCGAGAGAGCGAAACATCTCCATTGTATGTTTTGTGGTAAAGAATATGATAAACTGGAAAAGATTCTTTTGCACATTCATTTGGAGCACGCTGCTGGCGATAAAGAAAAGATATTTTCATGTGATGAATGTGACGCTAAATTTAAGAGTAAATGTGGTTGGCGGACTCATATGAATAAAAAACATCTTTCAACAAAAGATGGTACGAGTAACTGATTCAGTTGTGTTTATAAAAAAAAAAAAATCAGCATCAACCATCAGTGAATCTTGAAATTACAAAAAGATCTTTTCTCGTTCTCTGCTTCCTCTCTTAAGGAATGCATTGCCTTAAAACATTAGAACCATTGACTCCTTGAATATATTTAAAGCTTAGCGTCCAGAAGGGCTTTCCATAATTAAAAAGAAATGAAATGAAATGAAATGGGGTTTAACATCCTACTCCTAAACTGGGCTAATGAAGATGGGCAAACGCCATACAGTGTGCTATGAGGGAAATTTTGCCCGGGCAGCGGCGCTAAGGCCTACTCTTATATCGAATTCCAACTGCCAAGGGATCTTTTACGTGCACGCCAATATGTACACAGGACCTTGGTTTTTCTTCCCATCCGAACGACTAGACAGCTGTCCTTGTCAGGCCCTCCATCCTGGATCACGGACAAGGGGAAACCACCCCGGAAAATCTGGATGAACTTTCTTGGCCAATGCAGGGATCGAACAAACGACCTCCAGGCTAGCGAGCCAGCGTCTTACCCACTTAGCCACACTGTGTTGCGTATGCCCGTCTTCATTAGCCCAGGTTAGGAGCAGAACAGTAGGACGTTAAACTCCATTTCATTTCATTTATTATTGTAGTGTTACACAGGTTGGTTGTGAGAGGTATTGGAATGGCAGTCGTCATTTGTATTTTAAAGGAGAGCCGAAAAAAGCTCTCCTTAATGAACAAATTGAAAAAATCGCTCCGCTAAAAAAGCTCTCCAAGTTTTGATAAGAAGTGTGATTTAGAAATTAAGGAGAGTAATCTGATATTAAGGAGAGTGATTAGTTGTGTAGTATGTATGGGAAATGGTTCTGAAGATCAATAACTGCATGCAAGGGGTCATTCCTGGTTTCATAAAAGATAATTAAAATAGTACTCGTACGGTCACATCAAACTTTTGCCATCATCTTAAACTACTTACGGTATTCTAATAGAAATAGTTTGTACAAATTTTGTTAAAAATAACCCCTATTCAAAATATTATCATAAACGCTTGACAGATTTTAGCGAAGATACATGTACTGTACATGTTTCTTGTTTACAACGGAGGGTTGGATGGCCAAATGTTTAGCGCGCTGTATCATACGGTCTGTCATTGGGTCAACTGACGGGGTTTCCATTCCCCGGTTGTACAGGTGACAAGGAGTAGGGTCGTCTGTCCAAACTCGTGGGGTTTCTGTGGATCCTCCGGTTTCCTCCCACTGCTAAAGACCCCTACCTGCAAGCAAATTATTGAAATAAAAAATTGAACCATGTTTTACTACCGAAATGACCTACAGTGTAGTTTGTGTTGAGTGGACGTTAGACCCCATTTCCCTCTCTGTCCATCTCTAGAGAATGGCGAATATATACGTAGACAAATTTTTCAATTCATCCCATCTTTGTAAAAACTGAACAGAACTGAACAAGGCTGATATTCTCTTCACAGATTCAACTTTTCTAATATTATGTAGTTTATAAGGGAAATAACAATCCCTCAAATGTCATAAAATATTGACAAGAATACAGGGGGAATAAAAAAATCACTCACATGCTGTTAAGATTTGAATAAACCATGAAATATGACAAGAATAAATTTAAGTATACATGTATTAACAACAATTAGTGAGAACTTGTTATTGATTTGAATTTGAAATACATCATTTCACTCTTGGATCTTGCGGGGTTGGATGGCCGAATGGTTAGCATGTGCACATTGTATCATACGGTCTGTTATTGAGTCAACTGGCGTGGTTTCGATTCCCTGGTTGTACATGACAAGAAGTAGGGTCGCCTGTCCAATCCTATGGGTTTTCTCTGGGTCGTCCGGTTTCCTCCAACTGCTATAGACCTGTGGGCGCAAGCGAATTATTGAAATAAAATTAAACCATATGTTAGTCCTGAAATGACCTGGTTTGTGACGTTAAACCCTATTTCTCTCTCTTGGATATTGATAATATTCAAGTCTGTTTGTCAGTTTAAGAAAAGGATGATAAACTACATATATTGTACATGTATCTTTAGTGAAGATTTTCTTACTTAGCTGTTAGAAATATTATAGAAATATTATTGCTCAAACTACGACACCCAGCGCAGAACTCGGGAATTGTCAATCACAAATCACAAATTTGGGGTTTTTGTATACCCATAGCCACAAATTTGGGGGTTTTGTATACCCATAGCCACAAATTTGGGTTTTTTGTATACCCATAGCCACAAATTTGTGGTTTTTGTATACCTATAGCCACAAATTTGGGGGTTTTGTATACCCATAGCCACAAATTTGGGTTTTTGTATACCCATAGGCCATAATCACAAATTTGTGGTTTTTGTATACCCAGTCACAAATTTGTGGTTTTTGTATACTCATATCATAGCCACAAATTTGTGGTTTTTGTATACCTACAAAATGTATAATGACGGAAAATAATATCCAATCTGTATTTAATTGATATCGATGTCTTGTAAATGCTCTCATTACCCACAAAAGAATGATAATATGACAACCCTTGTTGACTGCTCGGAAAATTTAGCTGCTGTGTGCTCATGTTTCGTTGTTTTGCAACCTGTTTTCATTAATTTTTTTAATTCCGGTCTGGCTCGAAGTTAAAAAAATATTGTTTGCTATAGTATGTTGATCGTCAGACCAGTACATGTATGTACAAAATTGTAAACAATGGAGCTATTATTTGTACATGTATTTTATAACTTTACAAATGTAACCTGTATGTTATATTTCGGTTTCCACAGATTATAATTCTATTTATAATAAAAGTTTGTCTTTGTAGTTATTTTTTACCCCTAAACCAAACAGTACATGTAACTAGCTATAAAACTTATTTCATATGACATGACAGTCTTGGGTTTGATCCCGGTGTTGGCTGAGAAAGATCCTCGGGATTATATGTACATTGTATCTGGAGAGATTCCCCCCTAATGAGTAGTGCGAGACGAAGGGCCTGACAGAACAGTGTCCAGTCATTGGAATGGGATGGAAAACTGAGGTTCTGTGTGTACATCATAGAACCCTTGACATGTGGGTGTGCACATAACGGGACCCTTGACATTGGAGTGTGCTGATAAAAAGTACCCTTCACATGGTGGTGTGCACATAATGGAACCTTTGACATGTCGGTGTGCATATTTACAGAACCCTTCACATGTTGGTGTGCACATACATGTACAAGAACCCTTCACATGTGAGTGTGCAGTGTGCACATAAAAAGAACCTTTGACATCGGGGTGTGCACATAAAAAGAACCTTTGACATGTGGGTGTGCACATTAAAAAAAAAAACATTGATGTGGTGGTGTGCACATAAAAAAAAAACTTGACATGTAAGTGTGCACATAAAAGAACCCTTGACATGAGGGTGTGCACATAAAAAAAAAACTTGACATGTGAGTGTGCAGTTAAAAGAACCCTTTAC